AGCTTACCAGATATTTGATCTTCCGATAAAGTCGTCTGCAAAAGAAAGATGGTCATAAATGTGTGACACTATGAACAGATCGTTAAATATCTAAATCTGAAGAGAAATAAAACGTTACCATTTTGAGCGAGATCTGTACTGAGCTTCTCCCACTGTATTTGTGAATTCCCCACGGACTTGTCACTGCCTTTTTTGGAATCGGAAGTGCTCGGATCTTCGGAATTTCCGACTGCGACCACGCTACTAGCCAGAGTATGAATATCACACGAAATTTCTAGACGCTAAACCGTCTAGTAACTCATTAAACCCTAATATAGTTTTTGACTACTCTCAGTAATTTTCATCTGTTTAATAAACGCCCCGATAGGGATAAAAATAAACACCTTCGAGAACTTCGAGGTTCGTCACGCAACACTGAGGGACATTACGTGACTTATGTACAACCCTCCCGTCCAGTTTTCTCGCGATTCTACCTGTGCGTTCAACGATCAAATAAAAATTACGAGAAAAAAGTGGGCTGTGAACGGTCTACCACAGCTTTTTTTAAAATTCATTACACTCTTTTTGTTTCATGAGTAATCTTCTTTATAAGAATATCGAGGTTGAAATTAGCGAAATGAATATACCCAAGGATGAAATTTTGGGTTGTTCGTAAGTCACGCAATGTTCCTTAGTGTTGCAAAATACGGGAGTCTTGATGGGGTATAGATCGGGCGGTGTGTACCACTCTCTACTCTTCGTTTGGCTTTCCTGCCCCCTCGCGCTTTGCGTGCGTAATCACAAAGACAAATTTGCCACTAAATTGATGTCGGGAGGACGACGTACAACATCTTGTCATATAGTTTACTTTATTGATATTTATATTAACTACATGAACTTTTCACAAAAGTATATCAACGAGTGGCTGTCTTTTTGGACATACGACGGATGTCCATGTCATAAAGTATAACGTTATCGTTATGCTAAATAAATATCTAGTCTTTGAAAAGCTCATTTTTACGTCTATAAATACGGTATATTAAATCTATCTACCCCATATTAAAATACATTTCAACGACCTAGTTTGGAATTCTCTTTTCTGTAGCAGTTTCAACGCTTCAATCATCTATTTACCTCTAAATGTCCTAACTACCCCATTCGCAATGTACCAATCTTACATGTATATGTACTGAGGGTGTACTCTATCTGTGACTTGAACTCCAGTGGTAATAAATGATTTGAAGCTTAACCAAACCCAAACGTTCTCTCTTCTCAGTTTTAAGAAGGAAAAGAAACCCTTCTCCTTTTTTTGGATCGCTCCCTCGCAGACTCTTAGGTTCATCGATAATGTGCAACTTAACCCCGGGAACTTAACTGACCCTTGAAAATATGCGCGAACGATCCCCTGTCAACTGAAGGGTAGACTTAGCCTCTTCCATGTGTTCAGCATTGTGTTCAGTTAGTTAGGACGCAGCGCGCGAAAACAACAGCGAAGCGAAAAAAGAAGAGAGAGGCTTGGTACATGGTGCGCCGCGCTTCCACCCAATTCTTTTTGTGCTTCATTCTTCGCGCTGCGCCCCAACTAACTGAACGACTGGAGGAGGCTAGAGTAAACTAAGATGAATCTCTTTGTACGCTTTTACTGAAATCCCAGTCATTCCTTGTACTCTACGAAATATGCGAACTTTATTCCACGCCTAGTTGCTTTCAACAATAATCTTACTATTTAAATACTAGCTAAAAAGATTCTACTCCTGTTAAAAGATTCTTCTCGGTGGTTGTCAGAACAGCCCGAAGCTCGGAACGTCACCTGCCTCAGTCAAAATAGAGTTTCTGTTGTCTGTTCCGCACACGTTTCGTCAAACACAGACCCAAGAGCTGAAATTAAATGAAATACATTTAGGATAAGCTATAAAATGACGAAGTTGTAGGTCCCAGAACTTGTTTTATGAGGCGACTGATTGATTGATTGATTCACTGACCGATTGACTGATTGCCTGGTAAATCATTTGTAGTTCCAAGTTTCTTATGGGTGAGGGTGGTTCTTTCTCTTTTGGGGGTTTTTGGTGAGGTTGGAGTTCAATACCCACGCCCATCCGGTAAAAAGTACATCCCAAACCACCCCCGTTCTATTTTATTGCTGCCGTCACGCAATACTACTCAAAGGCGCTTACGTTAAGTGAGATTGGTGAGACGCTCTTATGAAAAGGCAGCACGCCTTTGTGAAACGAGGCTAAACTCGTGAACGAGCTTCTATCAATTCCCACCACAGTAATTAGGTGAAAAAACACCAGGTGCGTTTCATATTATTTTAATTTCAAAGCTGACTTGGAACTTACACACAGTCATATGCAATTTATCCAAAGAAGGCTTCTTAATGTACATAAAAATATGTTAAAAGGCTATGNTATTATTTTAATTTCAAAGCTGACTTGGAACTTACACACAGTCATATGCAATTTATCCAAAGAAGGCTTCTTAATGTACATAAAAATATGTTAAAAGGCTATGTTCTCCCTTAGCAATTAGGTCTAATCTTGTAAAATGCTGCAAAGTATAAAACTCGGTTGATTTTTTTCGCAATAGTTACTGTTAACGTTTTTTAAAGAATTCTAAATTACTTCTAGTTCACTGAAATGCAATAAATTAACAATCAACCAATCCTCCGCAGACAGTGATGCTTATACAGCTCATCAACTATTACTTCTGAAAAGAATTTCAAATATAGTGTGGCTAAGATCATTGATTTAACAAGTAAAGAAAGAGTACAGTTAGATACAACTTGAGCAAAATTTAAGGGAAAAACAGTATTTCAGCATGGTTCCTCAGTTGAAATTGCCTGTTTTCCTGTTCCTATATGCCCTGGACTAACTGTGTAATTAGCAAATTGACGTCAGTTTTCATGGGTCTGTCCCGTTATTGATCATGAATTTCGTCATAACATTGTCAAAGTAGCTGTGGATCCGCAGACTACTTTTACTTAATTGTCAAATTGTCTGCTCTCTCTCATTGACGCATCACATAAATTATAAATTCATGTGTCTGTCCGCTTATTGACAATAAAAATTAACCAATGAGTGCACAAGAATTTCTGCAGTAATCGTAAAATAAATAATTGATCCTGTAATAACACTACTTGAATGTTTCAACAATTTTTTTCCTACATGTATTTTGTATGCTACAAAAATCACTAATAAAAATGTTCAAAAGCTGTTTATGCATGCGTGTAATCTCACGTTAAGTGATCTTCAATGTTCTTAACCTGGAGCATATACACATAACCCTAAAAAGGGTTATAAGCTTCTGTCTAAACTTGATTATATAACTGTTTTTAGATGGGTAGAGTTGTACAAAATTCATCAATATAGTACATCAGCCATAAAGGTATCACAACATTTTTCCCTCTATTGACATATTTTCCCATTTTCAAAAAAAAACTAAACAAAACAATATGCCAAACTTAACACATCCTAATATCAATTTGGCCTTGGCCTTTAGGGGAGTAAAACATAAGAAATTGTTTATCATTTCCTCAAACAACTTTGATATGATTTTTTTTGTTTTATTTTCCTAGGCTTCGCAGCCAAGCTAATTACTGGCACTTCAACACACTGAAATAGCTAGGCTTCAGGGCAGAATCACAGATTTCTTGAACCCAGATTACTCGAACCTGAAGATAATTCGCAACAAAATCTTCTTTGACCGATTTTTGTTTGAAAAATCAGGATACCACAGTATTAGAAGAAACTGATATGAAAAATATATCACTAAGCTGAAGAGCTTATTACTACCAATAAGTTACAGTGCAGGGCATGACGATTAAAACTAAGTGCTCATGCTGTCTAGCTAATTGTTCCTTAATTAAAGGGTTTCTTCATATATATACATTCAGTAACTCGGAATCCAGCTGTTCAAATCTGTACTTCAGGATGAGTTCCAACTTCAAATTCACTCTCACCCAATAGACCAGTTTCGACATATTAAAATTCAGCCTAACACAATAGACCTCAGCACAAGGCTCTGGAGAATAAACCCCACAAACTCTGTAGTTATTCCTCAGAGCCTTGTACTGAGGTCTATTGTTTTAGGCTGAATTTTAATATATCGAAATTGGTCTATTAGTAATGGGTAGATCCAGAATATATCCATACCTCCCACACAGAACTGATTTTGTCTTAGACTGCACCCCCACTGCCCCGCCTCTCTGGAAATTCCAATTAAGCTTCATACATGTCTTTAATTTTTTTGGTCTTACAGAACCCTCCCCCAAGAAATTCCAATCCCTTCCGTGGGGGGAGTGTGGTTGGATATTTTCTGGAACTGCACAATCAATCTCAATTTTTTTTTTCTTCAGCATTTAATTCTGAACAATGTGAACACTGTTAAACATTGAAGAGAAATATGTTTTAAAAAACATTGATACATCACTGACCAGTTGCTGCTTATCAGCTTTTGAACAACTGGAATCAGATTTTCATTAAAAAATTGTCAATTTTTTATTTAAAAATGTACTTTTTCTCGAACAATCTAATTTCAATATTGAATACTGTAATCCCCTCTACCTATCTGGTTTGGTGTATATTTTACATGCAGTTCCAATATAGCCATAAACCGATCTGTATTTTACATATATTTAAAGCAATTAATACATAAAAAGAATAAATGTAGAATTAAAGAAAGAGCCACATTAGGTCATTAAGCCCAACACCCAAAGATCTATAGGAAAGCACCAGGATTAGCACGAGGGTCCTTCTGATTCCTGTAGCGACAAGCCATGTACACACCAAAGAGCTGCGAGAGATAGAAATAAGACAGGAAAGTTAGACAGATTAGAGGAGTAAAGATGTTTGATTTAACTTAAGATAGAGTCAGGAATTAAGAACCTTTATTTAGGTGTCAATACAGTTTCTAGTGCGTGATCTTCACTAATTAGAGACATATTGTAAATAATCAGAATTCAAAATTCTAAAATCTAAAGTTCCTCATATGAATTTTCCAAGATACAACTTAGTATTACCATCTAGCAAATGCTACCTCAGTATGTGTCCAGGAACTTGCATAGTTTATTACTGGTACATTTGTAATTGTTGTCAAGTTAAGTATTATTCTCAGTCAAATATTAGTCTTTGTTACGTATTAGTAATGCTTCGATATCATATGTCAGACCTCGTGCGTTGTCATTTTGCAATAGTTGTTTTAGACAAGAGAGCTTATTGCGAAGGTCACTGCATTTATCTTGTGACTTGTCTATTCAGGCGTTACAGAGAGGACAATCGGTAAGCGTGTATTTACTTCCTTGTCCTTTTCGTTGCCTTTCTTGGTCAATTGTATTATTAGATTTCCTCGCACTTGTGTATTTTAATATGTATTCGTGTTATGTAATGGTTATTTTAGTTTTAGTCTTTGGTGTTGCTTAGACTAGGTTTTTTGATTGTATATTTTTAGTTTGACGGTTTTGGACATCAAATCACGATTAATATGAATAAATCACGTTGGAATCATACTTAGTCTTTGGTGTTTGAAATCAGTACTTTGAGCGAAGTCCTCGTAATCTGTGTATCTTTTGCGACACTCTGACTTTGTTATGATGCCTGAAGCTACAATATTTGCTACAGATATCTTTTACTTCCAGTGCTAACTAGCCTTACCTACCTTTACTATCTAACTAAATTCACAACAAAACCACTTTCTTTATAAACATTGAAGCCCTTTTCCTTTTACCTCATGGTCTACTAAAATTAATACATTGTGTATTTCTGTTATAACTACAAACAAAGTACTACTTCATGTAGAACATTTTCCTGAAAATAAAGTCAAGTTATCATTTATTCAAACACGATTTTTGGCAAGTTTTTAATGGTGATAAGTGAACAAAGATGGTGAATTTTAAGCTTGGTGATGGAATGTGAAAGGTGAGTTGATCAACATGATGTTTGGTTATGGGTTCGATTCCTGTCAGGGATTCAGATTTTTTCTTTCTCCCACGCTCGTGTCATGTTGATCAATCCACCTTTCGCAAGTTTTTAATGATCTAGACCCTGGGAGAAACACTGCATGAAAACACTGGAAAATCTAGCAAGTGCTGTCAGTGGTGCTTTCTTGATCAAGTACATATTTATATCACTGGTAGTTATAGGAATTCGCCCATTAACGTTTTAATTTGCTGCTCAAATTTGAGCTTGAAAACAGATGATAGACAAGCAAAGTGGAGCAATAACAATATAAAATAACAAAAATGGTCATTCACTGTCACGATAAAATTAACATGGTATAAGTGCACATACATACCAAAGTGAAACTGAAGAACAGACCAACACCTCCAGCTACTTTTAGCAGATGGTTGACAACATCTTCTAGCTTATTGTAGCACGTTTCACAGGTTAGACATTCAGGGCTTTGATTAGTACAGCACTTCAACTAAAAGAAATTTTATGCAAGAGATCAGATTACTGGTGTTTAAAATCATTTTCTTTTAATTTTTTTCCTCCAGAAAAATATTAATATCCAAACCCCTCTCATGAAAGGTTTTTTAGTTTGAACCCGATCCTCCCAACCTCTACTGGAAATTCCCATTTTCAATTCATACTCTCCTTTACAAATTGGATCATGTGTACTAAAGGGATCCACAGTCAAGTGTTGATTGACAAGCTCGATCAACCCTCGATAAACACTCAGTCAACATCTTGAATCATCAACACTTGGTTGACAATAGATTGACACTCAATCGACAACTCAATTGACAGTCAGTCAATAGTTGGCAGAGTCTCGACCGACTCTCATGTAATGATTGACACTTGATAGCCTATCAGCAAAAATTAGTTGACTGTTGACCAACTGTCGATGGAGAGGTCAATCAAGTGTAGTGTTGATTCAGATGTTGATGTAGTGTCGATTGTGGGTATTGTTTGACACTCAACCGTGGATGCCTTCAGAAAACATGACCCTACAAATTTAGGCTTTTGATGTACCCCACCCCCTCACAATTTTTGTTAACCTTACTTGGGGTGAGTATGGATATTTTCTGAAACTGCACATTGCAGTATTACTGTATTTCTGTGTCATCATGGTTGGCACCCGTGAAGAAGAATCTGACACTCAGGAGAGCCAGACATGAGGAAAGGGGGTTACATGTCTCGCATAGTTTTACAAAAGTTTCAAGGCCTTCCCTTTTTCATGATGCTTCTTGTAAATCTTGATTTGTTTTGTTAAGCCGGATATTCTACTTTGGTTAGCAGAAAAGATCCTTAAGTAGTTCACTGGCTGACAAAGTCTTGAAATTATTTACCATGATGCCAGGGGAGGGGCTTTCTCCCAGAAAAACTGAGTGGGGATATGTAGCCTGCTTTCCAAAACCCTTACCCTATTTATGACTAAAATCTGTGATTTTCCCTACCCTACTCTGTATTTATGACCTGACCAAAAATTCGACATTATCTACCTACATTATCTATCTACATTTGTATGACTGTTGTGGCACCTACACAGTTGCCATAAACATAGTTTATGAAAGGCTTATGTTGATGGTCTTATTGATAATGTTGAAAAAGTAGCTTTTTCAAAAAAAACACACCCAATTCAAGACTGGAATGCAAAACCATACACTGTTTCTGACTGAAACTGCAAGATGACACTAAATGGTTTCTTGTACTTACCTCATCGCAATTTGGGTGCCCCATTTTAGGATCATTTGGTGTTAAAGTCCTATTTTTAAATCCACAACAATCTTTAATCTCTTGAATTTCATTTTTCATCTTATCTGACATCCTACTCCATCCAGCCTCCATTAGTTTAGACTGCTGCTCATGAGAAACTGCTATCGCACCAATTGAGACTGACATTTGAATAATAAAGAGAAGTGCCATAATGATCATATACTGATGGAAGAGTTAAGGATTAAAAATATCATTTTTGATAATGGCAATGTGTGGTTTTGGATAAAAACCATACCTACCCCAAGGAGGGTTACTGGAAATTGTAAGGAGAGAAGGGTTTCAAGTTTTTAAAGAAAAGCACAAGCCAAAACTGGAATTCCCAGAGCAATGGCACT